TATATATATATATATATATATATATATATGTATATCCAATACGCGCCAAAGCGCGTATGCAGATACACGCGTATATATATGACTATGATACACCAGCTGTGCAACATAGATAGAAGTTATACGCTATAAGCCCCCTTTCTTTTCGCTCTTGTCAGTGAAGTGTATTTGTTTGTATCTCTTTAGCAGCAACACACAGAGTTGATGCCGGCGCCTGCTGGTGTTGCAGCCGAGGCGGACAGAGATTGACCCAGGGCGGTAATAGAAATTAAAATTAATAGTAATAATATATTGTTTAACTTGACTATAAAAGTTTATCGAGATGCTGAGCGTCTGTTGCTGCGCCAGGACCCTGGAGAGCTGGTGGGCCCCTGTGCCGACTCCGTATAAATGAAAGTAGGATGCGGCGATAAACTGTGGTATATACCGACCAATTGTATTAAATGTTTATAAATAAACAATAAAAGAAACAAATTAAATCGCTAATAAACATATTTGAGGAGGAATGAGGGGTGTGATGTCTCCCTCTTGTATGGCTGCTGCGCTCCAGGCCAACAACCTCCTTAGGAACCCCAGACCAGCTGCTACATTATGCACTTTAATATATCTCTTCTTTTGTTTTTACAGTAATAATTGACTTAATAATACATTAACATTTCTCTTTATACTCATGAAGCGCGGAGACAGACAAAGTAAACTCGCTCTGGCTCAACCAGGCCTTGTAGTAGTGGTCTTGTATGCGGCATGTGCTGAGGACTGGCAGCAGCGAGGCTACTGTTTGTCTTGATTTTTTTCATGGTTTTTTGTTTTAAATAATTAAAATTATTTAATGTATTTTGTTTTTCTTCTTTCAATCCTTATTGAACCTCCGGCTTGTCCGCTTTTCAGTGTTTTCCGCCGTGACCCACCGCGCCGCCAACGGAGCTGCAGCTAGCAGTCTGTTCCTTCTCCTCTCACCCTCCTTCATTCTTCTCCTTTATCGTTTGTTTATTGACTTATTTGATTAATTTGTTTTCTTTTCCTACGCACACAGACCGCTGGACTGGGGCGCTGCTTCGCAGGACGAAGCTGGCCCCAGCAGTGATTGGAAAGCACCGAGCTGTCTGTACACCTGCCGTTGTTTTCTCTCTTTTCTCCTCCTTATGTTTCCTCCAGATGAGCTTGGACCTACCATGAGGCCACTCACCAGCGCTTGAAGAGCGCGTGAATATCCAACGGGGGCAGTCGAGGGTTGCGTACACCCCACCCCCTTCTTTCCTTATACTCATGTTCTTTTGCTTTCTCTTTGTGTTCCTTTTGACTACACAAGACCATACGGCTTCTCTCTTAACCTGAATGTTTCCGGGGGCCCCCCGGTGCTCCAGGAAGGGGCCCATGGCGCGTTGGGGGCCCCCCTCAACCACCCATTCCTTTGGGGAGGGCCCCTGCGTGGACGTCTGTGATGCTTCTCCCTCTACACCTATCTCTGAACCAGCTGCAGACATACAGGAACTGCAGTGTCCCGCAGCAGCAACAGCAGCTGATGTTGCTGTTGCTGCTGCAGGCAGCAAAATGTTCATCCAGGAGAGCCTGCATAGCGCGCGTGTCCCGGACAGTGAGCCACTGGGGAGGAGGGAATCCTTACAACCCCAATTAGGGTTTTGGTTTGAATCGTTTAGGGTTTGACTGCAGTATAAGGAATGTTTATCGAGGCATAGATACGGGGGTTCTCTGGGGTGTAATCAGGGCTTAGTGAGGGGTCAGTGGGGGCCCGCAGTTGTAGCTGCACTGACACACACCGCCTACCATTTAGACTCAAGCAACGCTCATATATCCCCTGCTGCAGCAGCTGGACCTGCTGCAGCTGGACCTGCTGCAGCTGGACCTGCTGCAGCAGCTGGACCTGCTGCAGCTGGACCTGCTGCAGCTGCTGGGCTTCTTCTCTATGCATGTTTCTGTGCCTGTTGTTGATGGAGTTATGCTTGGTGGGGTTTGTATCTCCTCACTGCGTACAGGCTTCTCTCCAGGTTATTACGTTGCTGATAGTGGCGAGTTGCTCGAGTGTCTGTGCTCGTCATTGAGGTGTCTCTTCAGCTGTCTCTGTCTCCTTGTTTAGGTGTCTCTTAGATGTTTCGCTGTGTTCCAGGTGTCTCCTTGTGGGGTGTGAGTCTCCTTTCGAGTGTCTCTTCACTGGGCCCAGCTGCGTACTGGGTTTCTTCATTGTGCATCTGCGTATTCGGTTGATTCAGCCCGTGTGTTCTGTTTCTCCTGAGGTGTATCTGGAGGCGTGAGTATGTGTATTCAAATATATACTGAGGCGTATGCTGAGGTGTCTCCTGAGGTGTCGCCTGCGGTGTCTCCGGAGGTGCCGCGTGGGGTGTCTCCTGAGGTGTCTCCTGAGGTGTCTCCTGAGGTGTCTCCTGCGGTGTCTCCTGCGGTGTCTCCTGAGGTGTCTCCTGCGGTGTCTCCTGCGGTGTCTCCTGAGGTGTATCTTGAAGCCGGGCTCTGCGTGCTGGTGCTCTCAGTGTTGGCTGCCCCCCGGGAGGCTCGAGCTCTGGAGAGTGCACAGAGTTTGATAGAGCGGCAGAAGGCGCGTATAGAGGAGCTGACGGAGACAGTGTTGCTGCTGCAGCAGGGGCGAGGAGACAAAGAGCAGCGGCTGCAGGCAGACCTGGAGAGTTATGTACACGAGAACCAAAGACTGCGGCTGCAACTAGACAGCCTCAAGGGGGAGCTGGAGGCCTTAGAGCAGCTACGAAGAAAAGGAGACAATGACGTGCAAACCCTCGTGGAGACAGTTGCTGCAGCAGAGAAGGGAATCGCAGAGAGAGACGCCCTCATCAGGCGCCTCCAGGTCTCAAACCCTAAACCCTAAACCCTAAACACTAATCCAACCCTAAACCCTTAACCCTCCGAGCAGCTGCACCTTTTCGCAGCAACTTCCTGACAGCGACGCTGATAGAAAGGCTTCTGGCCTAGGGTTTGCAGTTGACATTCTAGGGTTTAGAGTTTAGGGTTTAGGGTTTAGTGTTTAGGGTTTGGTGTGGTGACAGAGCATGGACAAGACAAAGGAGAATGAAAGGCTCAAAGAGGAGCAGCAGCGGCTGCTGCACCGCCTCAACAAACTGCAGAAGCTCGTGGGGACGACGGGAGAGGGAGAGGCCGACGGCAGGACCCCTCAAGACGTAAGCGAGAGACAGGAGGAGACAGAAGGAGACACCTATACACAAAAGGAGACAGACAATAGAAGCATCAAGTAGAGCTGAAGAGACAGAAAGAGAAACGTATATGCACAACAGCAGACAGTGGGAGAGACACTAGCCTGTGTCGCTTGTTGCCTTGGGGTATAGCTAGGCATCTAGCTAGGCATACAGCTAGGTAGCTAACTCGGTAGCTAGCTGAACAGCTAGCTGTAGAGGGGGGGGCTAGCAAAGGCTGGGGTGTATGGTGAGTGTTTTTCTCACGCAGCTGGCTGGGGACCTGGTGCGGGTCCAGCGAGACATTGAGCTCCATCGCGGCACCACGCGGCAACTGGGAAACACCCTTGAAGGTGAGGAGACAGCGCACACACACAGAGCCCTCCTCCTGCCCCCCAAACCCTCTTTCAATTAGATCCTTCCCCTGAGCCCAAACTCGTGCAGCCAGTACCCCCTTTCTTCACGATACTGCAGCAGGCAGCTGCTGCGGGGGGGGTCATATGGGGCCCCTCTGGCTGCGAGGAGCAGCGGAACAACCTGTACAGGAGCAAAACCCTAAACAGTACTTGCTGCGGCTTCGGGGGGGCTGACATGCGGCGACAGCCTTAGCAAGGTGTATATGCTGGTGTGGGTGGGAGGCCGCATTGCATCGCGAGGCATCGTTGCTGCAGCGAGGATGCATGCACCTCCTCCCGCTAAAAAAGCCCCAAACCCTAGAGCCTTCAAGGGTTTAGGGTTATCCTCGGCGACCTTCTCTGTATTCGCTGTTGTCCCGCAGAGCTCAGGGTTTCAAAGATGTGCCTCGTACAATCAGAAGCGTGAGAAACCCTAAACCCCAAACCCTAATTTGCTTGAGGCATCTTCATTGCTCTTCTTTGCGCCTAGGCCCCGGAGACCCCCTAGGGCTCTCTTGTTAAGCGAATACACTCCACCTTTTGTCGCTTTTTTCTCAGCTTGCATGGCTTGTGGTTTGCAAATATGGGGGTACAATTTGGGGTCTAGGGTTTAGGGTTTAGGGTTTAGGGTTTAGGGTTTAGAGTTGGGGATGCTGGGGGGTTGGTGTTTTCAGGAATCTGCTGGAGGGCCAGAAACTGATAGAAGAACAACGCGCCGAGATACAGCGTCTGTACAAAATAGTGAGGCCTTAAACCCTAAACCCTAAACCACCGGTGCTGCGGCTCTCAGTTGTATGCATCGATAACAGACACTTTACAGTTGCTAGTTTGTTGTTTTTGTTTCTGTGTTTCTAGTGGAGAGAGAGGAATAGAACGATGTAGGGTGTAATGTGTATCTCGAGTTTGGATTTCTACTTTGAGGTGTAGGGTTTAGGGTTTAGCGGTTGAGGGTTTGGGTTTGGTGGTTTGGGGTTTGTCAGGTGGAGGCATTGAATCGAGAGAAAGCTTTGGTGCCGCCTGTGGTGCTGACTCTGCCTAAGCATCTGCGCGGGGCTGGGGAGGCGCAGCTGGAGGCCCTGTCTAACAAAATGGGGCTTATACTACAAGCCCTGGACCGGGAGAGACAGAGTAAGAAACACACCGTGAGATATATAAGAAATACCTAAACACAGACACGGAGACAGCTGAACAGGAGACACTTGACGATAGCCTTGCAGCTGTCTCCTGCACGTAGCAAACTGCTCGCTGCATCGGGGTGGAGACGCTGTAGCCAGAAGCAGAAAGCCGCAGAGACAGAGAGCACCCCACACAAACAGAAGGAAGAGGAAATACAAGAAACATAGAAACATGCACATGCATATAGAAACACATGCAGAGAGTGAATCCAGAGAAACAGATGCTTCTGTTCTGTGTTTTGGTGTCAGTGACACCGGAAGAAGACAGAGAAGACAGAACGTCGCTCGCCCTGGTGCAGCAACGCATGTTCGAGGAGCAGCAGGCTCTCCTCAAGAGGCAAGTTTTCTTCATACGCTCTTCTGTACATTTATATTATGTGTGTATATGTTATGTATATTTATATACGCGTACACTTACATGTATGCATGTGTAGATCGTGTGCGCAGACGAAAATTTCTATTGTTTCTACCTTCACATGCATGCATGCCGTCTGTATTCATGCGGTTGTCCCGCCTCACTGCCGCTCATGCATACACACGACGCACACAGCAACAGCCAGCATTAGCAGCAGCGCAGCAGCGCAGCAGCAGCTGCAGCAGCAGCAACAGAGGCAGGGGAGTGTGCTGCACTCGTTTGTTGCTCTCTGCAGAGTTCTTGAGGGCTTCGATCGTATGGACGAGCGTTTCTGGGGGAGAGGGGACCTAGTGAGTCAACGCTTGAAGAGCTCGCTAGGTAGCAGTCTATGTGGCCGGGTAGCCACGCATGTAGCTAGCTAGCTAGCTAGCCAGCTAGCTACGGAGGCGCTGCTGAGGACTAGTGAGCAGCAGACGTGTGTTCGTTTGCGCATGCAGTGGAGAACAGACGGGTCTTTCTTCTACTCGGGTAGGCCTGTCTCCGTTCGGTGTTTTTGTCTCCTTTTCCCTTGCATTCTGTCCATTCAACTTTTGTCTCCTTTTGTCTCCCCGTCCCTTTCCTTATGCTTGTCGCCTCCTGCTTCGTATTATCTATTCTTTTTCTCTTTTCTTGGCAGCTCTCTCGTCTATACACCTGTATACGCGCCTCTCTCTTTTGTTTGTTGCCCCCCCTGCCTGTCTCTTGTCTCTGTCTTCGCTATGCCGTCGGTGTATTCATGCTCTACTGGCAGAGTAAAACAACCGTTCTCACCTGTCTCTCTCTCCGGATGGACCAGGGTTTAGGGTTTAGGGTTTAGGGTTTAGGGTTTGGTGTCTGTGGGCGGTCAGGGACGGTGCTGCATGCGGTGATAGACGTTGATGACGATGAAGCGGATTACCGAGAAAAGTTAGTATACCATATACCTACTCATAAGAACACTTTTACTTCTTTTTCAAGAATATGCATATATATATATATATATATATATATATATATATATATATGCTAGGGCTAGACACAGTGTAGCGCTGGCTTAGTCAAGGAGACACTCTTATTCGTTTGTTTTGTCGGAGTGTATATCTTAAACCCAGAGGCACTCGCAAGTTTCGTTTAGAGAAGGAGACACTTGTATGCACCAGTCTGCTTAGTTCTCGGTCCGCATGACTGCTGAGGTGAAGAGACACTCTTATGAATTAGCTGGGGCTTGTTTAGGGTTTAGGGTTTAGGGTTTAGTGTTTGGGGTTGCACTAACTAAGCAAGATGTGCGTGCCTGCTGTCTCTGTTTTCAGAATTATGGCGGTGAAAGAATGCATGCTGCTGTTCTTCCTCGACCCCAAGGCAAGGAGCACAGAGACAAACTAATACTTAGAAAAAGGGTCTCTGTATTCTGTGCTAGCAAATAGTTATACTTTCTTAGTAGTAGGCCTACTGGTACAAGTGTCTCCTTTTTCATACAAAACCGGCAAGACGAAGGGGCACACGAGCGAGAAAGGCTGCACCATAGACAGAGACAGTAACTCATAGAAACATAACCATATAACCATATAAGAGTGAACTGACATATAGCCAGCCACGCATACAGAAAAAACGGCATACAGAGAACACATACACAAAGAACACGGAGTAAACACATAACAAAGTAACCAAGGACAAAACCATACAAAGGGCGAATAGCAACTTGAGGATCACAGTTTACCGCGGGGACGAAAACGAGCATACACCATACACGGCCACACGAAGCAAGCCGGGGAAAGAGAAAGAAAGGTCCGCAGCTGCGAGCGGAGCATGCGCATGTTTGGTGGGGGGCAAGGGATAAGGAGACAGATCTAGATGTGACAGTGTGCATGTCAAGGAGATCGTTAGTTTAGCGGTGTCCGCAGGACGATGAGCCAACGACAGTTCTCCGTCCCCACAAGATGCATAACTTGTCTATAGACCCCAACGCGCTGCAGATTAGGCTTTTGTATGAGCCCTGCCTCGGCCGGACGGAGACACACCTCATCAAACTCATGACTGAAGATGAGCTCAACAGGTGGGGTATTTCTCTCCCTGCACCCTAGGTGCTTGCGGACTGTCTAGCGAAGCAGCTAGCCAGCTAGCCAGCTAGCCAGATAGTTCACCCGTCGGAGGGCGAGCTAACGAAGGCGTTGCGCTGGACGTGGTCGACTGGCTGTTCAACTACCGAACTAGCTATATAGCTAGCCATATGTTTAGGTAGCTAGCTAGCTAATGAGAAGCTCGTCACACTCCTTGCCAGCTAGCTCTTTGCCAGCTAACCGTAACCTCGGCTAGCTAGCTAGGCAGAGGCGCGAGGGTGAACTGGGTTGAAGAGAGATTGGTTGACGCTCCATGTCCAGATTTAGGGTATAGGGGCGTATGTTTGTGTTCTTTTATGTGTGTATATGCTTGTGTGGGTTTGCGTATTTGTGTGTGTGTGTGCTTGTATGCGTTTGTATATGGGTTTCTGTATTTGTGTTTGCGTATTTGTATGTGTTTTTGTATGTTTTATGTGTGTGTTGTTGTGCAGGTGGAGCCACGGCCTGGCTTACGGGGGCTTCTTGCGGGCTATGCCAGCAGCTGCGCCCCAACCGCCACCTTCGGCCCCTCCCTCCAGCCGCCCCCTCTCAGTTCGTGAAGAGGAAGTCCTAGTTAGTGTGTCTGTGCCGGAGGGTATGGCATTTGATGGGGCGCCAACTTTGAGCGAAAGGCATGATGGGTTCGTCCGAGCTTTCTGCTGCTGCTGTTGCCCATGCCGATGCTAATACTGTTGAAACACCTGCTGTTGCTGCAGATGCTGATGCTGCTGCTGCTGAAACTAGTGCTGCTGCTGCTTCTGCAGACTTTCCTGTTGCTGAAACTAGTGCGTATCCTGCTGCTGCTGAAACTAGTGCTGCTGTTCCTGCCGACGCTCCTGCTGTTGAAACTCTTGCTGCTGCTGCTGCTGTTTATTCGCTGGAGCGGGAGGCAGGGGAGCAGGGTATTGTCTACGTGTGGGGTGTACAGACACATCCAGTACAACGAGGCGCGGAACGTGTTGATAATCACATCGCCTGACGTAATACTTATATTTTCCCCCGTCTTTACGCTTGCCTTTGTTGCACAAAGTAGACAAAAAGCCCTTCACTTGTTTGTTGGTACTTGGTAGTCGGTGATGCGTTATTTATTTTGAATTCTAAGAACTTCATCTAGGGAGCTAGTGTGTTGCTGTAGACGGAGCTTCTGTACACCAGCAGCAATATGTGAGGGATGCTGTGGCGAATTGCTATCGGTGCAGGACACGACTCCTTTGACGATCCCTTGCTCGTTGGTTACTATGTCCATGAACAGAGACTTGCATTCCATCACCTTCAAGTCGGCAGAGGCAAGCAATCCCACCATCACCATACAAATACGCACACACAAATACAGAAACCCATATACAAATGCGTACAAGCACGCACACACAACTATGCGAACCCAAACAAGCACTTGAAGGTGATGGAGTGCAAGTCTCTGTTCATGGACATAGTAACCAGCACGAACCCGGGAGGCGATTTCTTCCGTGCCCTTCAGGGCTGCGCCTCCCCTCCCCAGTTTCTGTGATCTGCGCAGGGCCCAGAGGTTTCTGTCACTGTTAGCACACAGGAGAAGTTTTTCCCCGAGTGAGTCTCCCCGCCAGCGGAGCAAAACGCTAAACCTGAGGTTAAGCTTAGCCTCAACGTATCCCGTTAGATGCTGGGGTGTGTACGTAACTCCTGCTACAGACTCGCAGCAGTGGCGGGAGCAGGCAAGTACTACCAGCCACCTGCCAAAGAGACGCCGCTCCCGACGCCCAAGCCGTCTGAAAAGAAAGAGGAAGAACCCAGTCCCCCGGAAGAAGACGAGTAAGCGGAGCCGGAAGAGATGCATGAGCCTACGTGACGGGCAGTGAATGCACCCGGAATGGTATAGGAGATCGTGTAGGGCCTAGTGCTGAACTTTTGTTTGGTTACAATGTAGCTACAAAGTAGAGTAACGTGGTAGTGAATAGGCAGCCCGAGTCCTGTACTAGATAATATGGACGTGAGAATCACTGTCTAGTAGAGAGGGGCGGTATTTGTATTTCACTTAGATACACCGTGCGCTGTACGTGTTTAACACCTGCCTAATACCTAAAACTAAAGCTTGAATGCAGGCCGAGTGTTGTACGGGGTTGCACCCCATGCTGTGGTTCACGTTGGCCTGCTCCTCGCTGCTTGTGTAATTTGTTGTGTTCCCTCTCCCTTTAGGGTTTTTGTTGTTCGAGATGGTTATTTGATGCTCTTTGAGAAGGCAGGGGACCCACAGCCCATCCTGAAGCTGCACAACGCCGACTGTGTGACGCTTGCCGACGCAACGAACAGGGAATTTGTTATTACCCACAAAGTGCGTATAACGAGAGTTTTTGTAATTGTATTTTAGTGGAAAGTGGAAGGGAGGTGGGTGGGGGTTGAGTGGTGTAACATTTTGCCGTATTAGTATAAAAGAGTAGCGAGGTGTCTATCGAGTGGGTGGCGCAATGGATAGCGCGTCGCCCTCCGGAGGCGGAGGTTGCGGGTTCGAGTCCCGTCTCACTCTCTTTTTCTTTATTGTGTAGTTTCAGCTTATTATGTTTATGGTTATCTTTATCCTTTTGGAGGAGTTTGCAGAGTTAATTAAAATTATGTGGCAGAAATTAGAGCGTGTCCCACGTCTGGCGTACGCTGCAAGAGCATGATCAACGGTGTGCAAGCTTGTTATGTTTTTCGTGAAATTAAAGCGGGTGTATATTCGTATTCAAATTTAAAATTAAGAATTTGAGTTTTCTACATATTCTAGGCTAATATTGGTGTTATGGTGTACGCACGTCGGATGGCGCTCACGCTGATCCGGTGACCGTCCGCGTATCGACGTCTGCCTACTGCGTATCTGTGCAGCCTGGAACCCCAGAGGAAGAAACCTACGTCTTCTCCTTTCCTACTGACGAAGTATACCAAGGGTTTGTCAAAATAGAATATCCCACACCGTTTGCTTGGTTAAATGCTTGAGAGCCCATGCGCGGCTTGTCTTGACCGGCCATAAGGCTTCCCGTTTCGGTGCATTTACTACCCTGCTATGTCTAGGGAATATTTTGATTCATTTGAATTACTTTGACTCCTGCTGGATTGCAGGTGGTACAAGAAGCTGGAAGAAAATGGGTTCCTCAGGCGCAAAGGGGACCAGCGTGGCAGGACGGCGAACCAGTGAGAAACTGACAGACCGCTCCCTGTGCCCGTGCCTCTTTGTACAGCCGTCTGCAATGTGTTTGCAACTATGCTTGTGCGCACGCATACACGTGTGAATGCACTCGTGGGAGGAGTGCAGACTCGTATTATATAGTGGCGCAATCGTTGAAGCGCACGGTGTCACCATTGTACTCTGTAGACGTGCCAACTGCTGCTAGCGCACATCTGTCTCTAATCCATCATTGAGCATCTGGCTCACTCAGGTGCAGGCTGCTTTGCCTGGAACACCTGGTTCCACGTTGACACTGAAGCACATTGATCCCCGTCGTTTATGACATAGATGCGCTTCTCTAGATATGTGCCTGTGGGGCCCGAGCGTTCTCCGTGTGTGAATGTGGAGTCAAATATTCATCATGCACATTTAAATGAGTGTAAGCCTATGCAGATGCTCGTTGCATCCTTTATCTGAAAACGAAACATTGGCATTGAGTTGGTTGCCTTTCTGTGCGTCTCGGCGTTCCTGCATCGCCGTCTCTGCAGAGTGGGAGTGGTCTCAAAGGGGTGCCTCGAACTCTACAAGGACTACGGGGCTCCTCAGGCCAAGCCAGTCATCACGCTTATGGCCAATCGCTGCAGTGCCACGGCCAGTCGAGAGCGACGAGAAATAAGAATAATTCACACTGTACGTTTGTGTCGGCCTGTCTCCTTTGCTTTTTTGTTTTTGCTTGCTGTGCGTGTTTTTGCTTTTTCCCGCTCATGTATTGTTTTGGTGTGCTTACCTGCTTCACCAGCAATTAAACAACCGCCTGCCGGCCGGCATTTTGTGTGTGGCGCGTTAGACTCTCTCGGTGTCTATGCGTATTCGTGTGTGCACCACTCGATTTGGATATTTTGTCGTATGTGTGTACGCTTGTTCGTGTGTTTGTTTCTTTATTTGTGTATTTGTTTGTTTGTTCGTGACGTTGAAGAATGAATTGCTCATGACGGAGTGACTTGATATGCCAGCAAACGATGTGGAAATTTGGGGGAACAAATTCTAGCGAAGTGAACTGTTTAGTAGGCAACGGACAAACAGAACTCTTAGAAGCAAGGAATAGGGTGAGAAAGGGACAAAGCTTTGAAGGCCATTTCTTTTCACTTTGTTCGCTCTGCTGCTGTACTTCGCAGAGCCCCTCAGGGAAACGAGAAAGAATTACTCTTGACTGCGCAAGCTTGGCGGAGTTTGACAGGTATAGCTGATGTTTTTTTCAGTATCAGCCAGTCATAACACTCTCCCAAAATCATACGGCATTGCATCCACTAGCGATCCTGGGTCTGTGGTGCGGGGCTCTAGGTGGAACGTGGCTCTACATTTCGGCAATTTCCTCAAGGGCGAAGACATACAGGGCACGGGTTCCCAAGCCTATGCCAACCTATCCAAGTCAGTAACACAACAGCACTCCATGGAGACAAGTACACGAAATTCTCATTCAATTATACTTACGAACAAGCAATTTTAGCGCACAAACGGGCGAGCAAGCCAGCCAGTCGACGTACTGCCTGCTCTCACATTCGCTGTTGTCAGCCTAGATATGCTTCGGTCCTACGCCTTGGAGCTCTGAGAAGAATAGGAACTTCTCTAAATGCCCCTGGCAATGCTATGGAGTATGCGTCGTGATGCTTGAGTTGCATGGACGGGTACAGAATGGAACGGACCTGTGCCCATTCGTGTGTTTTGTGTGTATTGCCAGATACGTATTCCCTATAAACATGTTTGAAGATGCATCGGGGAGAAGGTCGGCGCTTCTGATTGAAAACAGGATGATAATGCTCTTCACTTCTCCCGATGTAGGCTCATTTGCAGGGGGTTGAGCGCTGCGAACGCCTGATTGTTGCTTGTGTTATCCTCGCATCAGGGAGCCAAAGTGTTTTCCTTTGTAACGCATGGGGTTCAGCGTTTAACTTTCAGGGTCTGCGTTTGTATTGTGGGTAGGCGACGGATCCGATATTGTGTTTCCCCGCTAACGAGTGCGAAGTGCAGCCCATCATCGCCCAGCGGAAGCTCCGGGTGTATGTAAACGTAAGCGTTTAAGCTAGGGTTTAGCACTAAGGGTTTAGGCTTATCGTGCGCTCCTCCCTGCGACGCCGACAAAAGAAAGGAATGGGGGCATCAATAGATAGGCTCTGGCGGGGACGGAAGTAAAGCAGGAACGACATTCTTGGTTGTAAATTGCAAAGGGCGCGTTATCGCGCCTGCATTGAATGCTCCTCAAGACCTGTATTCTGCCTCATGGCCCCTGCTGAGGGGGCCTCGTGGATAAGTGTATGGGAGAGAGGAATGCATATGGGGTCATGTTTCTGTTGTTCTGCAGAGGAACACGAAGAAGGAACAACGCATAGACTTCATTCTGCCACTTGCTAAAGATCTAGACAGGTGCAACCATGTCCCTGTTCCAGCAGTGCAGTGTGCAGTGCAGATACACCTAGATTCAGTCAACACTGCACGTGAACTCAAAACATTCAAGGGGATATGGGAAATTCATGGAAAAAATGCCTCTTTTTTGTCTTGTTCTGTCTTTCGTCCGTGCCGCATCTGTCTACCATTCATCACATCTGCCGTGTCTGTCTTCCTTCTCCTTTTGTTTTCCTTCCTTAATAACCCCTTTTGCTGTTTGTCGCCAAATATTGTACATCAGTAGAAGGCGAGTACATGAAATTCTGCTTCCTTTTGCCCTGCAGATATGCTGCTGCATGCCAGAGGGACTCTTTCCCGGAGGCGGTTGTGGGCAAGCAGGTGGAAAAGCTGAGCATCCCGTGAGCTGCTGAGTTTGATACGCGTCTGCGATCTTATATATGTGTCTGCACTAGAGACAGCAAAGGCAGCTGAAACCCACATCGGCGGGTGTGGGTGTGTGCGCTGCATGCGTCAGATTTGTGCTGTGCAGGAAGGGACTCATGGCCGTTTACAAGAGCAAGTTTGTAAGGAGAAGAAACCTTACTAATCCGTTGCCTTCTCTCAAACCCTGCGTTCTCAATGCCGATGCTGCTGGTTGTCTGCTCCTGCCCGGGTTGCTGCGGTTACCGCTGTTGCTGCTGCTGCGAATGTTCCTGCCGCTAGGGCCGTTGCTTAGACTGCTCGGACTACTACTGCTGATGCTCAATGCGTGCAGCACACCCATGCAGACGTAACGTTGGAGGTGGCTAAGTACACTTTCTCTGAGGAGGCATCGACATACATCTTCACGAATCTGGACGGGAAGGTATTTAGCGAAAATAGCGACACTGCAGCAAATTAGGCCGATCATCGCACAGTACAAGAAGCGTTGGAGGGATCAATCTGAAAAAAGAAAGAAAAGCGAAAATTAGCGCAAGTTAACTTTGTGCTTCGGGTGCAGGAGCCTCCCAGGAAGGTAACTGTGGTATCTCCAGACTCGCGACAGAGGTAAACAAGCAAACCCTATCATGCATGCGGACACATGTTTTAGGCCTTGTTTTCTGCGCCGCAATAGTCGACTATTTGGATTGAGGCCCCGTAGATGACGTGCTTGCATCTCTATTTGTTGTTGATACTTCAGAGAGGGAATAGTTCCTAGCCTTTCCCGAGTATGCAGGCATGTATTTGCTCGGCATTCTGTGCATGCTTGCAGGTGGGAGTTTGCCTTGAGACTGACGGGATTTAAGCCATTTTCTACAGTGCAGCTTCCGCGTTTTTTCCTTCCTCAGATAATGTGAGTGGTGAAGATTGTTCTCTTTTCCCTTTCGCGGTGCCGTTTTACTATTTATTGTCTGCGTATGGGCCCCTGTTTCTCTTTTAATGACTGTTGGGCCTTAGCGTAGCTGGTTCAGACACTGCAGCCGTGCATTAGCCTTCTTGTGTTTGATCGCTGACGAAGGACTGCGGCTATGGTGTTTTCTCAGCTACGGCTTTGTTACAGAAGAGGCCTCCGAACTAAGGAAGGAGGGGCTCCTGGGCAACGCGAGAGCTGCTTGGGGGCTGCTGAACATGCAAAGAGAATCCCGAGTTTCTGCCGGGCAGATGGACCAGCAGTCACACCATTCGCAGCCCCGCAGCGACTCCGGCAGCCGCTAGGGCTCCCATGCATGCATGCCTGCCAGGGCTTGAGCCCAGTAATTTTGAGCATTCTCTTCTTTCATATATCCACCTGATGCGGCATCTAGGCTGCTCGTTGCTAAACTACCTTTCAAACTATTACAGTAATTATAACCAGAATACGAGGGATTAGCGAAGCGTAAAAAATATAAAATTGAGCAGAAAACAATCAGCTCTCGCCTTCTTCCGCCAACCTCGCAAAGCTAGACAGGCCACCCACTTGAGTAGGTCGGTAGGAAGTTACTGTACTACGAAGTGAAACCTAAGAAATTCTGAACGGCCATGCTCACTGTTGCAGGCACGAAGTTGGTTAATGTATTAAAGGGAGTGAACCGTTTTCCCGAAAACAACACGCCTATGGAGGCTACTCAACGGGCGCCGCGATGAGTGTTCGCCCCCAAGAATCCCAGAACTATTGACCAAAAGTTCTATTGACTAGGTCATGCTATGACCTAGTCAATAGAACTTCATCTATAGCTTAATCCACAGCTTCCCTTTGTCTGAAAAGTGTCAGTTCTTCGTGAACAAAAAGGCTCCTGGTGGACTTCGAGTTTCCAAGTACCTCTGTACATGGCTGTTCCTGGAGTGAGGCATTCAGTAACGTTGGGCAGCAGCGAGATCTAAAGGGTGAAGTGTTGGGGCTCGACGAGAGCAAGGTGCAATTTCACAGGAAGATAAGAAGTCCACCTCCACCACCCTAGCTGAGGAGGAAGCAGGCGGTTTGGAAATGAACCCGCATGTAGAGGTTATACATGCATTTATGCTTGCGTGCCTTTTATGCTTGCGTGCGACCTGACAAAGAGCCAACGTGTGTTCAATAATCGACTACGGCGCTGGCGCATAGGGGCCGCTTGCTTTCGTCGCCAGCCTCTGGCCTTTGTGACGTTCTCTCCACAGGAATTAGAGACTTAAGGGGAGGTCACCTGCTCCTAAAGGGAACCCTTATACTGACTCTACTTCTACGTGGCGATGATCCTCAGCTAGGGCGCAGGACCGTCGCTCCAACACTCTAGATTCCTTATCGTACCCCCAATAACGCCGAAAGCACTCTAAACACGTACTTGCCTTCAAATAGCCAGCGTGCAGACAACCATGGATACGTCCACCGACGTATAACGGGACACGTTACGGATCCTTAGCCGCAGTACTGTCCGTGCAGCTCATGCCACAGGAGCAACCAAACAAACAAACAGCTCCCCTTAAACGTGTACTAATAATTTAGAGAACTTGAAAGCACCGTTGGACTCTAGAAGCGAATATGTAAGAAGTCATGGATGCGTCCTGACAGACCCTCCTACACCACAAGTTTGGGAAGTGTGGCATCGAAGTACGTTTACTTCTCGTCTCCACCGTGTCCTTTTATAGCCTGCCTGATTACGCAGGAATTAACCGTAAAATATATCCGTTTTTTCCCCCAAAGAGGCTCGAGTTGCGTTAAGTATTGTGAGACCTCATCCGGCGGGTACTGCGCATCATGGCTGTTTGTTGAGGCCCCCGCCTGTTTGCTTGTTGCTGGTTCTCCGAAGGCTCCGGCTAAGTCTTTCGTTTATTTGTCTATTTTTTTGCATCTTATCCCTTAAAAAACAAAAACAGGGGCGCAAAAGACCCCTTCATTCCACCCTGTAGCTGTTTGTACGACTCCCTGAGCTGTGCCGTCAAGGGGCCCACCTTCCGTCGCCTTTGGTATGGGGGGCCCCGCCGAGCCAATTTCCTTTTCTCAGTGAGTTAACAAATATCAACTCACCCTGAACATGATGGCCCTGTCGGATCCTGCTGCGCCTCCTCTGTGGTCTGCTGCAGTTGTTCGTGCTGCAACGCACACGGACGCCGTAGAAAGCACGCGAGGTATTCACTCCCTAATGCTGCTCCAACAACAACAGCAGCAACAACAACAGCAGCAGCAACAGCTGCAACAATCACGCATCATCTTCCAACACTACGTGGGTCCCCACAATCAAGAGCAGCCGCAGCAGTGCCACCAGCAATTGCAGCACAACCTCAGCAGACAGGCACTGCTGCTGCTGAGGAGTGCAGCTAAAACCGCATCTGACTCGCCTTCACCTTCCCTTTCTGGGAAAGGGGTCATGGGAACCCTCCAAGGGGGCCCACCGTGGGGCCCCCCTTCCCCCGTACCTGCAGGGAAGGAGGAAAACAATGCCGTGACGCTACATCTGTTGGGCGAGGTAGAGCGTAGCAGCAGCCGCAGCAGCAGTAGTAGCAGTAATAGCTCTCTCCCGCTGATAATTGAAACTTCAAATGACTCCAGCAGTGACTCGGAACACGATGACGACTGGGCAGAGTTGACACTGGAGGAATCGGACGATAATGATCAGGCTAGCTGCCACGTCCCGCCTCCTCCTACGCAGCAGGAACAAGGAGACTTTCGCCTGCTGCCTGCTACTGTGAGGCCGTTCGCCGTTTCCAGGCACCGAAAGGCACAAGAGGCACCAAAGTGAGGCGTCTGTATTTGCACATCGAATTGTTACTCCTCAACCCCGCAGTCAGTTCTGCCATTTTTTGTTTTCAATGGAGTCAGCCGTGCGCACACCTTAAGCTGGTACTGCTGCTGCAGCATCAGCCTCAGGAGTATACTGCAGCAGCAGCAGTTGTTCTCCCTGCTTGTTGTGGCCGCAACTGGTGCAGCTGCTGTTGCTTCTTTTGTGATTTCAGGCAGGAAGTCGGAGTTGTCTCGGATGCAGTTTACGGTGCGTTTCCTTTCTTGCTGTCTCATTCTGTGACGTCTTTCTCCCTAGCGGCTTAGAACTATGTTATGCATATGAGCAGTACAGACGTCGCCTCGGTGTGTTCCGATGTGCATTACCTCTCAGAACTCCCTAGGGGCCCTGGAACGGGAGGCAGTCTACCCAGCCAGTTCGCACGACCAGCTGCAGCGCAGCAAGAGCAGCAGAAGCAGCAGCAGCAGAGTTTCTCGTTCGTGCGGGGCTTAGCTACAGCCCTCCGGGAGCGCATTTTTGACGGCATTAGAAGGGATCCTCAGGAGAAATCCGAGAGACAGGCCCAAGAGGAAGCAGCCGTTTCAAGACAAGAAGAGTCAGCAGCTGCAGCGGCAGCTGCTGCTGCTGTTGCGGAGACACCTGGAATCGTTGCGCTACAGATGGAATTGCTGCACCTGTCGAGGGAGGAACGGCGACAAAGGAGACGGCAGACGACGACCCCGAAGCACAGATCCTCAGCACCGGTCTCCTCAAACAGTAGCATTAGCGATAGCAGCAGTACCAGCGGGACCCCCAGAACAGGCAGCAGCAGCTGTAGCAGCAGCTGCAGCAGCTGCTGCAGGAGCAGCTGCAGGAGCAGCTGCAGGAGCAGCGGCTGGAGCAGGAGTGCCAGAGGGCGGCTACGGAGTGCGCGGATGCGCATTTCGTCAAACAGTTCCCCCAGTCTGAAGTGTACAGACACCGCAGGAACGCGAACAGTCCGCCGCTGCACCTCTGTCCCCACTTTTGCTGCTTCATACACGTCTGTCTCGTTAACTGTGGACGAACAGGAACTGCTGCACAAAGGGAAAGCAGGAAGCAAACGAGCTTCCCGGGCAAAGCCTTTTCTGCATGCAGAGGACAGGTCAGCGCTCCGCCCCTTGAATGCAAGGGATACAGGAGCAGTAGACCAAAGAACTAAAGCAGTTGCAACAGCTGGAGAAGTGGAAACTGTATCATCCCGTCCCTCAGATGCCCGCACTGCAGTGACGGATCCCGCGTGCATGCAGTGCACTGGCGCAGAAGGCGCTGCTTCCCCCGTTGTAGTTGAGCGAGGACGTCTGCAACGGGAACAACGGGCTCTGGATGCTGCTGCTGTGCTGCAGCAGGAGAGAGAAAGGCAAGAGATGCAGCGTAACGTGCTGTGGTGGTTTGCAAATGACATATTGATGCCTTATGCGTTGTAATTCTGATAACCGTCTTTTCCTCTTCCAAGTTATAAATGTTAACCGGACGCAGCAAGGCATAGTGGTTGAAGTGCAGTTGGGTCTATTGAATTTCTACCCACTCGCTATACCTCAGCTTTAAAGTTAGTGACAGACTGCTCCGCCGAGGCAGCCCTCGGCAAAGGAAAGACCTGTAATACAACGACAGGGTCTCTCCCTGCTGCAGACAGCCTCATTCTGTCTCTATGTTTTTTGTTTTTCCCCTGCAACAACAAAAGACTACGGTGCTTTCTCACCGCAAGAGAAAGTCCATACTCACTGTAACTAAAATGTTGTTATTGACTCCGCCAGTTAAGGGGGGGGGCATGCCGGGGATATCCGAGGAACCCCCCGAAGCTATTGCCCGCACAATGCGCTAATGTGCATGCACACATGTATGCATACACGTGCACATCCCAGGCACCAGCCCAACGGTCACTGCGGGGAAATTCGGTAAAGCCCATGACCCCATGCAGCTAACAGAGCCAGCAGATGTCGCTTTTGACAGTTTGCTTTACTGGCCCCTGTACTGTTCAGGGATATAGTCCTCCGGATTGACGTCGACACCGCGCCACTTCTTCGCTCGGCGAGCCTCCAGGTATTGGGCATAGGCGTGGTGATCCAATTCAGGCCCAAAGTAGTTCCACCTGAGCAACCAATAACAACATTAAGCGCCAACAACATGTACGCCTGTGTGTATAACAGCAGCTTGGAAACACCAGTGAATCTGGAGAATCAGAGCGTGAGAGTAAAGGTAAAGATACAAGCACAGTTTTTGATTTCATGTACACTGTCCAGGCGCTCGGCAGATACTTCGTGTAGGGAATTCAGGGTCCAGGCTTCCGGGTGTGTGGCAATCAGTACCTAAAGTTCTTCCAGTACTCATCGCGGTCCATGAACTGTTCCATCGGTTCGAATTTGTTCATGTAGAATATAAACATAAGAATGGGGATGGAGGGGGCAGCTACAGCTGCCACCGCCATGAGCAGAAAACGCAACTGCGGCCATGCCGCTTGAAACAACTGGCGTGCTGTATATTCCTTGTAGCACTTTTCCGTGTCGAAAAAGACGGCAATATCTTCGTGGGTTGGCGCATAAATAGATGGAGTTGTGAAATTTAAGTATTGGTAACCTGCAAACACACAAAGGCAAAAGGCGCAAGAGAGCTTATTATACGGCAGGATTCACGACAGAGCTGCGCAGACACCAGCGGTGTAGAGTGAGCGCAACTTAGGTTCACTTCTCATGTTTCCGAAGTGCGTTTACCTGAAGTCATCGGAACTCGAGTAACTTTATGGCTGACAAATTTGTGGGAGCTTATTTTCCGCATATCCATTCCTTGCCACGGTTTCTTAGCACCACAATCTGCCCCTGGAGGGTGAAACTGAGGGTTTGATGGGCTAAATGACTGAAGAGGAGCAGGAGAGAAGTAAAATCGCGGGTAACTTCGACGGAGAAGCGCGGCAGCCAGGCTGCCTCCTCCGCCCGAGGGAGTCATGTTGCAAGGAGGAAAAATATGTCTGCAATGGGGTCTTGGCGTGTATGGTTGACTGTGATTTGGAAGTCCCTGAGGACTGAAAACACCTATTAATACACGAATTTAATTTATAATAACAAACAGTGCAGAAACGAGGCTAAAGTCCAACGCGGCCCGGCGGCAGGCCGAACAGGACTGCATGCGGGAACAACTTATGCGGATACGACTCAGTTAGCAAATTATTAAATTAGCCCCTCTACATTCATTTTTCTAAACATTAGGACAGTAGTTTTTGGAAATACATACCCACTAATGCCTTAAATGCAGCACCAAGTTCAGCATGCATGCAACGCAACTTCGTGGTTTCCGCAATTTTGCGTTGCGTGCATCTCGAACTTAGTGCACACAGCTGCGGGCCAGCGACGTCTGCTGCAGCCAGGGGCTCGTTCTCCCAGCTTCTCCGCATGCACGCTTCCTACGGCCGAGTAAACGTAGTACAGCCGCTGAAGTGAATGTAGTTGTCTGCAGCGTGAGCCGTCTGAAACAGGAATGTGTATTAAAAAATTGCCTTCCCATACTAAAAATGGCCTTCCGAGGCTGGTACATGTACTTCTAATTGCGTTCCTGTTGGCTATGCAAAGCCATGTAAGAGTTCAACAATAGTCAACAATGTTAATGCACTGTTAATGCACTCTGTTGTTGCTGTTCCCCATTTTGGCGTCGGGGCTACTGTTGACGCTGCTGTTGATGCTCATTGTAGTGAATAAGCAGTACAGACACCGCCCCAAGTGCAAGCCTGGCAGTTGTGCCGCTCTCGTTTTCGTATTTCGTAGCATATGGGCGAGGCCCTGCAAGGCAACATGCAACGAGAGTCCTCGATCTTGTTGGAGGACCGTCCTGAGCTCCAATAGACTTTGGATACGTAACGAAAGGTTTTTTAGGAAGCAATTACTTCCCTTCTAGTCCCCAGATGGCCTGAGCCCGGTGGCGCAAGGGCCTCCGGCCGAGAGAGAAGCGGCGACGTGAGGCGAGCTGCAGCGCAGCTGGTTTCAGCTAGCGCGGCAAGACATCCTCACCCACATGCACAGTTAACTCCCTTTGCTGCATGCAATAGGACTGTCGGCAACTTTTGATGACGTAGTTGGTCCTTAGTAAGCAGCTGCACACAAGGAACACAGTGTCTGCCGATCGATCTCGTTCTGTGAGACGGGTTTGGTACCGCATCGACTGGAGTGCCCTTGACTACCAGGAAGGTTTCCCACGCTGCGTAGCCGTGCCCTCCCCTAGTTGCAAGCGGCCCTGGCCACTTCTATGTTCACGCCTAGTTGGGTTCAACAAGACCTTCAGTGTAGTTCATGCTGTTTAGAGGGTGGAACGTATGCTGCGATACTGCGGCCGAGTGAAACTCGAACTCCGCTGCACGCTCCCGTAGGGACGGCCCGCTGCGTGGATGTTCCTTTCTCCGAGGGGCCGTCTGGGAAACAATCGAAGGGCTTAATATACGCTTTGTCAATATAACGTGCCTGCTGTCGTGTTCACGCGTATGCACCTGGACAGCGCCTTAGGGACAGTAACAGATTGCCAGTGATACGTCCTAGCTGTCCCGAAGAAGGCGTCAGAGAAGCAACCAGCTGCCGTTGCTTTTGTCGTGTATCGTGACTGAGTTTATCTGCCTAGGGAAAAACACCTACAGTTGCGTGTGGGAACTAAACATGCGTATCTGGCTTGCTGCTGAGTTGCACGTGAAGAAACTCTTCTGCTGCTTGAGAGCGATCAGCTCCGAACAAAACACCAACACCCGAAACTAAAGACCAAAGGAGGTTTTCCCCGCGAAGTCAAGAAAAAGAACCGTTCTGCGGGCTAAAGCAGCAGCCGCTTCTCTTCTGTCATGGGAGTGTCGGCGGAAGGACGATTACTGGCTATCAGTGGCATTTCTCATGGGCTGCGCTTTCCTCCTGTGCAGTTTGGCTCTTGGCGCTGAGCGTCTGCTGTTGCTGTGAAGAAGCTACAACCAAATCGGCAACAGCAAATCTCGCGGGAGGAGGTATAGATGTGCCGGTGGTTGCTGGGGCGGCGAGTTGAGCCAGGTGACCCACTGGGAGTTTAAGACGAAAGAGGGGTTTGCGCTTTTGCTCAGGGCATTCACCGCTTCGCGGAGTTGGAGAGTAAGGTCTTTTCTTGGAGGAGGAAGTGGCAGGATCGTTGGCGGGAGCTCTTTCGTGCAGCGGACGCAGAGCAAGAGTGGAGCCGTCGGCTGATCGGAGGAGATGTTGGGGTCGCCTGCTGCAGGATACCGAATCGAGCAAGTTCTTCGCCACCGTTAAGCAAATGCTAAGTCGCTCCTCCATGCTTATGCTGCAGCTGAGGCCTGCAAGGTACTTTTCATGAGCTGTCATTGCTGGCTTTCGGCGACGCCTGCGCAACGGGCTGGCGCGGCTTGGAGGCGTAGAGGAGTGTGCGTGGCAAGGGGCAGGCGTCAAGATGTTTGCTCCTACGGTCTCTGTTGAAACCACTGGACTGGCTCGTGGCGCTAGCGGGGACAAAGTTGGCGGCCTGAACAAACCAGAGGAAACAAGAGGAGATACTTCGACGCGACAGACCAATTGTAATAGAATAGAAAGCAACGAGTCAATCTGCGCCATCCTACCGGGGATGAGCTTAGCGCCATTCGCCACCAACGAACGAGAGGAATTCCTGGAGGGCGAACTCCATATGCACATGAAATCAGCACAGACAGCGTACTACTGCAGGTGCCCGTGAATGCAGCACAGAAGTTGAGGCCCAGAATATTTAACAGAACAAGGCGACGGTGGGAAGGACACACTTACGCTTTGGGATCAGAGACAGCAGCCACTTTAGCCCTGTGTTCTGGTACAGGCGGGCCGTAGTTGTCGGCCATGGTCATTGTCTTGGCCGATTGCTGAGGGCTCGTTTGAGAATTGTTGACGGGGCTTAAAGCGAAAAGAAGATATTTGGAGTGGGTAGACCGCTGCTTCCTTCTGTTGTTCCTCATCTTGAACTACAGTGAATGTTGCTTTATCGAGAGAGAAACTCAGAGACTCCTTCGAACGGCAGTGCTCGTAGAGACAACCGAGACCCAGGCGAGGCCCGAGACAGCAAGTACAGCACGTCGAGGCAAGTGCAAGTTTGTTCAAAAAAAGCAATGTTTTTCGATAAGTAGAGCCTTATGAAAGTGAATAACGGTGCGTGTGTTCAAATGGGCTAGCCGGAAGGAGGCCATCTGCAAGCCCGGGTCACTGGCGCGCCAAGCGCAGCCCTTGCCATCCCGTGTTGTCGGGGTCACGTGGCGTTTCGCTTTCCACCCTTTGCCTACTATGTCGACCCAGTTATTTCATCTAATACATATTACATTATATGTATTTAGACTTATTTCATTCAGCACAGTAGTGCAACGTGATCAATTTCGCAGTTTTTCGAGGTGGCACGATACCGCCGGACAGTGCACGGAGATACCGCAACTTGCGCAAGAAGGCAGAAAGGCCTGCACCTATAATTTCAGGATCCTGTCGAGCTATGTCTAGTTTCCTTTCCAGATCAGGCTCCACAGATGCCCCTGCTTAACCGCCAACCTGTGCGGCAGCAGAAGGACCTCTTGGGACCAATGGTCAGGATGGAAGGACCCGACGAAACTTTGGTGTCTTGAAGAAAGCTTGCCCATACTAAATACTCGAAAACTGCCTGCTCAGTTCCCAAAGAGGTTGGTGCCTACCGTGCTGCTCAATGAATAGCTGGCGCAGCACATTGCTCAGTGCACGGCATTTTGAAGCCCAAGCGAAGGCAAAAGAGGGATAGGAAGGCGAAGAAACACAGCGTATACCAATCCATAGCTCAGTCAATAGTTATGCTATGGAACGGCGTGACTCTCAGCAAGGGCTCCCAAGCTGGCTAACAATCTTTCCCACTTTGTGCGCTTCCAGTTGGCTGCCAATAGTTATTTTAGTGCAATGCCTGCTGGGTAGAGGGCGGATACGCCAAATAGAGATAATGCGACAGACTGAACAACGAACGCATCTGCACTCTTCTGTGGGAATAGCACGCTGCAGCGTCTCTACTGTTCCCCGGGGCTGCATTTTGTGAGAGACCAAGGGCTGCGCCTGTGCTTCACCCCGGTGTTCTGCGTATCCTCATGTGTCTGTGCATGCGCATTGATGGCGCCTGAGGGACGGTAGAAACTTGCTGATGGGCATACCTAACTATTCCAAAGGATGGATCGAAGACAGAACAAGCTGCCGCTGCTGTTGGTGCGCGCTGTAACTGCGTCTTCGTGCCTGGGGAGAAACAACACCTACACTCGCATGCAGATACTGCGCATGCTTCTCTGACATATTGCTGAGTTGCATACGAAGGAACCCGTCTGTTGCTGGAAAACAATCGCTTTTGAACGAACACAAACAGCCAAAACTGAAGCCAAAAAGATATTGGCAACAGGAACTCAAACTAGGGAACCGTTTGCGGTTCGAAGAGATTCAAAACGCGTGTTGCAGGGACAGCCGCCTCTCTCCTGCTTTTGAGCGGGAAGCAGAAGGGCGGTCGCTAACAAGCAGTGAAAAATGCAGAAAAGAAGCACACAATGTCTGGAAATAAATAGAATAGGCATGTCTGAATACGAAGCGGATGCAATAGGCTGAATGTGAAATATCTGAATAAGCAGATGATAATGCGAAATGAATGCGGTACACCAGTTCTTGTTCTAGTGTGTTTATTTAGCTTCCTTTCGATTCATATACGTATATTTACTTTAGTTCTTATTTCCGTCTCTTCAGTGTTTCTGCTGCGTGCTTCACGTTGCGCACTTCGCCGCATATTCCATTGGCTTCCCATTCTAACCTGTTCAGGTCATTTGTTTTATGCGAATATATGTAGAAAATGGACAAGGCGGAAGTTAACACTACATAGAAAACGTATACAGTTCAGTATGAAGTGAATGGATAAAATAGATGCGAACAAGAAATGTGCGTATACATATGTGAGCATAAACTACATTGATTTGGCTTCCAAATCCATGAAGCAAGATGCGAACAAGAAATGTGCGTATACATATGTGAGCATAAACTACATTGATTTGGCTACGAAATCCATGAGGCAAACAGATGTAAACGCGTAAAGAAATTAATGGACTTAGATATGAGACAGATGAAGCAAACGGATGTGAACAAGTAAGAGAAAAACATTTGTACACATGTGTACTAATAACATTTGCACATCTAACAAACGAAAATACAAGTAAACATGAAATCGATGAAGTAAACGGGTTTGAATACGAAATAAACGCAATCAGGAAAATTCGGGGTTCGTGCCCATATCATTTGCAGTTATTTACTAAATTTTCAACACATGCAGAAGGGAGCAGCGGCTTTTGATGAGAGCCTATATCTCATGTCATTATCGCACACATACTGGGCTCCTCGCAAGGTTTGGCCGCTTACGTTAGCCGATGAATCAGTGAGAAGTTCTGGATCCGCACAGCTCCTGCTTCGCCTCGACTTGCTTCTTGTCTGCTGAAAACCGCTGCAACGACAGATTTGGGGACTCCACGGTACCGGAGGGTACGGAAAAACCCAGCGTAATAGTCCCCGCCAGCATATACTCGCCGTTCCCAATTGCTGCTGGAGTTGCTGACGCTGTTGCACTTGCCAGAATTGTTGGGGCTGTTGTTGGTTTGTTTGTGACCCCTACGTGCGTCTGTGGATCGTGTTTTTCGGGTTGTCTTGTTGCTTGCAGGAGTTGCGGGGCGATTCTTCGGGAGACAACAGCGGAGATAGTTTAGGTCGCGCTGCAGTGGCCAGGTCTCACTTTCATCCATGTCGCCTAATATTTTCCCCTCCTATCAGCGTCCGCTCCAGGAATAGCAGCAACAACAACGGGAGCATCATGAGCAGCTGCGGCTGCAGTACCCGAATACTTGTTGTTGCACGAGCTGAACCATAGGCGAGGCGCAATCTTGTCACCACCCACAATTGTAAGCGCCTTCTCAAGATCATTTCAACAGCAGTGGCAGCCCTAGCTGGTTTGGTACCAGGACGATCACGGGATGCAGCAACAAAAGAAGCAGCAGCTTTGTGGATTCCTTCCTAGGCATCAGAATAGCAGCGCTGGCCTTCGGTGTTTTGTAGCATTGAAGAACTGTAAATGCACCTCCTGCGGCACCAGAAGCACCAACAGAAACTGCAGCGGCAACGGGCGGCATTGCAGCGGTGGAAAGGAAGGCAAGGCAGCATCAGCGGGCACAACAGCATCAATTATTGCCATACTGCGAGCCGCAGCAGCCACAGCAGCGTAGTAGCAACCACAGGCTCAGCTTGCATGCAACTAGGTTTCAGCTGCTTCCAACGGCGGCAGCAACATTAACATGCAGATGAAGAAGGGGGATAACTGCTGCAGCTGCTGCGCGCATACATAACACCAGAGGCCTCAGCGAAAACAACAACAGCGACAACAGCATCATACGGCTGTGGCACCGCTACGGCGTTTCGAGATCACAGACGACGATAACGATGCCACACGTTTCCAAAACTCTCACGGAAGCCTTGCGTGTGCAACTTGCTCTTCCAGATGCCTTTTGCAACAACTGCACGTTGCTATCCTCGGAGCGTGCATTATATAATTCACTTATATACGCTTTTATAGCTGGTTGTCTTTTTGTTCAGACAAACCCTACCCGATTGTTCTGTCCCTGTATGCAACACAACAGACAAACAGTAGATCATTTACCTCGCACACCAGCGGTGCGTATCAGCTGCTTGGGATTAAGCAAGCTCATCTACCACAACCAAATCAATCAGAAAGCAGTATCTGAATGACATTCTTACGGTGCCATTAATGCGTTGTCTATCTGGCTGTACACCGACCGCTTAACCACTTTTGCGCACAAACGGCATCCCAGAACCCCAGCAAGCTTGGCCGACTTGACCTTACGAGCCCAGCAAGCATATGGACGCAAGGAATATTTTCATGACAACTGCGTGGCATTCTTAAGCTAGTCAAATGCCTCGTCATCGAATCGG